GTCTCCTTCATCTTCCTTTGCTCCTTTCTGGTAAGTCCTGGTCACTGTGCCCATGTGTCCACCTGTCTCAATCCATCCCAGGCCCCCCTACATCTCTCACTGATCCCTGATACTGATTCAGGTCACATGACAAGCGGATTCTGTGTTGATGGTCCTGTTTCCCCAGAGACGATGACCTCTAAAAGGACCCACTCTGTAATGAGCTCCTGTGGGCCTTGCCTTTCCTTCTCAGAAAGGGTTTTAAGTTTCCACGGGACAACTGTCCTTTAGTCTTTAGCCTCTGCCATGGTGATGAGTTACAAAGAAGCAGCACTCCAGCTGGTGTGCCTGGGGCAGATGAGCCTCAGCAAACTGGTTGTTGGGGAGGTAAGTGGACTAGGTCCAAGTCAGCAGACACCTCTGGGAAACTTTGAGCAGGGGCATGACACAATCTGGTTGATATTTTAAAACCTTGCTCTGGCCTCTGGTCAGGAGAGGCTGAAGAGCGGTCAGGAGATGGTTGGAGGTGACAGTGCCTAGAGAAGGGTGGGGATGAAGGGAGTTGAGCTGCACTTTAAAGACAGAGCCAACATGACTGATGAGTAAGCACAGGCATGAGAGAAAAAGAGAAAGAAAGCCGCGCCTGCCGTTTGCTGGGGTGCTGGAGAAACAGGCGCTCGTTCACGCCAGTGAGAATGTGACGAGGCGCAGCAGCTGTGGAAGACAGTATGGTAGCTCCTCAGTAAACTGAAAATAGAATTGCAGTATAATCCAGCAACTCCACTTCTGGGCATATGCCAGAATTGAAGACAGGGACTTGAATAAATATTTGTACACATACGTTCATAGCAGCATTATTCACAATGGCCAGGAGGTAAAAGCAACCAAAGTGCCCATCAACAAGTGATCGGTACACAAAATGTGACATGAACATACAAGGGACTATCATTCGGCCTTAACAAGAGAGGCAGTTCTGGCCCATGCTTCAATATGAATGAATCGTGAAGTCATTATGCCAAGTGAAATAAACCAGTGACAAAAGGAAAAATAACTGTATGGTTTCACCTATCTGAGGCCCTCGAGTGAAGTTCACAGAGACAGAGAGTAGGATGTAGGATGGCGGGTGCCAGGGACTGGGGGAGGGGTGGGAGTTAGTGTTTAATGGGGTCAGGGTTTCAGTTGGGGAAGATGGAAGAATTCTGGAGACGGACGGTGGGGATGATTGCACAACAGTGTCAGTGTGCTTGATGCCGCGGCACTGTGCACTTAAAAGTGGTTAAAGTGGTAAGCTTTTTGCTATGTATGTTTTACCACAATTTAGAAAATGGTATTAAAAAAGAATTAACATAAATCCTATCCAAACTCTTTTTATTTTTTAGAGGGGTGAGGGAAAGAGGGAGAGAGAGAATTTCACACAGACTCCATGCTGATTGCACAGCCCGACGTGGGACTCCATCTCACGACCCTGAGATCATGACCTGAGCTGAAATCAAGACGGGGACACTTAACTGACTGAGCCAACCAAGTGTCCCCTATTCAGATTCTTTCAAAAAGTAGAAGAGCAAACACCTCCTAACACATCCTGTGATGCTGCCATTGTCCTAATACCAAAGGCAGGCAAAGA